TAACTTTTATTTATTTATACATTAAATAATAATAAATTTTGATAATATTGGATTTATTTTTTAACATAATTTATTTTAATTGAAAATTTAATTATATTATATTTGTGTATCACATATTTTATTTTATAATATTTACAGTCAAAAACTTATAGTTACAACTATTTTAACAACATCAAAAATCTCCGCAAGAAAATCTAAACACTAAAATTACAACTAAAACCAACTTACATACAACACAAATTCTAGAGTTTGACAGCCGTAATCCAGCTAATCATCTCCAGTATGTATTTGAATGGACTAAACGATAAGAATGAAGTTATGAATACACAATCAGAAAAGGGTAGTCGTGATTTTAGATATTTGATTCACGAATACATTTAAAAAATATTTCAAATTAGTTAACTCTAGATAAAATATTGACTATATAAAGAATAATATTATTCAAAATATAGAATGTGTTTGACTGGATTAAACAATAAGAATAAAAATATAATAATGAATACACAATTTCGCAGAAAATGGTAGTGTGAATTTAAATATTAAATAATCATGAATACACAATTTCGCAGAATAAAAACGAATTTTATATAAATAATATTAAATAATCATTATAATTAATAAAATAATTTTCAAACAACATATCTATATATATATATATATATATATATCTATTTCTTTGTTTTTTAAAAAAAAAAAAAAAGATAATTCCTACATATACTCAGTTGTAAGATTTATAAGATTTTATCTTGTAAGATTATATATATTAGTGACAAGAAAATAAATCAATCTTACAAATATAAATTTATAGAAGGTTCTTAAATATGTATTGGAAATATGAAATTTCTGTCTATATTTTCTAGTTACTTCATCTAAAATTTTATTTTCTTAAGATAAATATTTTTAAAACTTTAAAAAATTNCAGTTGTAAGATTTATAAGATTTTATCTTGTAAGATTATATATATTAGTGACAAGAAAATAAATCAATCTTACAAATATAAATTTATAGAAGGTTCTTAAATATGTATTGGAAATATGAAATTTCTGTCTATATTTTCTAGTTACTTCATCTAAAATTTTATTTTCTTAAGATAAATATTTTTAAAACTTTAAAAAATTTACAATGACACGAAATGCTATATAATAGTTTTTGTATTGTTATTAAATTGTCAATAGCCACTATATTTTAAAGACAATCTATATTATAATGATACAGTTTAAAGACTCCTTAAGGTGTCCACATAGGCAGATTATGGGTCCCACATTTTTATATTAAAATAGATAGTTTTTTTAAAATGGCTACAAACAAAGAATATCAATTTAGCCAAGTGGTCTAAGACCCCATGTTTGGTCTGCAAGGACATGGGTTCAATTCCCACTGGTCTCATGCATAAACCAATTAATGTCATCATCATAAAAATATTTTTTAAACACACATAGTTTTGGTAAGATGGTCATAAACAATGAAATACACTTTAGCCAAGTGGTATAAAGTGTTTAATTAAGTATGCAAGATTGTGGGTTCAAACCACGTAGCTATCATGTATTTTTGATTTTTTATTTAGGTTATTATCATATGGGCTTTTTGTTTATAAGGTTCTTATGTTTTTTTTAGGCTTATTATTTTAAAGATCAAAATAGTTGTATAAACCCTAAACCTTAACAAGTTCAAACCCAAAATAGTTAAAAATGAATCCAAAACGAATAATAAAACAAAAAAAACAAGTCTCATGTGGTTGCCTACGCGGATGGCTTAAAGAACTTTAAAACTATCCTATTATAATATAGCTCAACCCAAAAATAAAATAAAAAAAAAATCCAAAAACGAATAGACAAAAAAAAATAGTTAATTTCACGCGGGTGCATACGTGGATGGCTTAATGAGGGTTGAATAATATAGATTAGGAGCTCAAAAAGTTAAATCATTGCACATATTTCCTAATATATATTTTCAAAAAAATTTGTATGTGAGATAAAATAAAACAACAAAAATTAATTATTTTCGTTATTTATTAAATGAATATATAATTTCTCTTACATTTTAATAACTACTATAATTTCCTTGAAAACATTCCTCACCACCGATTCCAGACTCCGGCGAATGGATTCCCACAGTCGATGACGCCGTAGATAAAAATGCCACATCATTTATGAACAAAACTCAAACTTACAAAAAACCATATATAAAAGCCTATCTAATGAAACTTAAACAACGAATATTAACTTAATTAANTAGCCTAACTATTCCTATAAACCTTACTTCGCATATAAATAACATTTAACACATTCCTAATATTTTTCAAAAAAATTGTATGTGAAATAAAATAAAATAAACAACAAAATTTAAGTAAGTTATTTATTAAATGAATATGTAATTTCTCTTACATTTTAATAACTACTATAATTTCATTGAAAACATTTCTCACCACCGATTCCAGACTTTGGCGAATGAATTCCCACAGTCGATGACTCCGTAGATAAAAATGCCACATCATTTATGAACAAAACCGAAACTTACAAAAAACCATATATAAAACCCTATCTAATGAAACTTAAACAACGAATATTAACTTAATTAAGGTTATTTTCATATTGATAAATCGTTTAATACAAATATAAATACTATAAATATAGAATTATATCAAGTTTTGACATACGATATAAAAACATGAAATTTTCCATTTCATTATTAATTGATGTCATTAGAAGAATCCACTAAACCAACAATCGAAAAAAATATACGTAAACATAATGATCCCGGCCCCGCGCTTGCGCGGAGAATATGCAACTAGTGTTTATGAATGGTGGTGGAAAACCAATTAATCCATTTGTGTAATATACTAATATTAGTGTCTACTAAGACTTGTTCATATGGTTCATAAACATATTTATAGATAAAGTATATTCCAAGTGGAAAAATATATCGTCCCACGTGGTTCATGAGTATCCCAAGTGCCAATAGTAAACAGTATATAGCTTGATCGCATCAAGACCATGATGAAGAATTACACTAGTTGAAAAAAGAAAAGTAAATACATATTATTATCTAAAAAACTTGAAGAGCTTGAAGGGAACAACTAAAAAAATGGCGGACGAAGGAAGTGGAAGTGAAACAGCGAATTGCATAGATATTTTGCTTGCTATCCTCTTGCCTCCTCTTGGCGTCTTCCTTAAATTTAGCTTCCATGTTTGTTTCTGTTTATCTCTATATATGTATCTTTAATTTATCCATGTGTCTCTGTTATACACTATAGTTTCTATTTTTTGAACTTATCCATGTGTCTCTGTTATCCACTATAGTTTCAAAGCAGGGGTTTAGTTTTAACCAACTTTTTGAGTTAAACAAAAGAAAAACTTAACAAGATTTTCATCAAACATTGACACTGTGTAGAGAGACATGAAAAGAGAAGAGGGGCTTGCTTAAGGGAAATCATCTCCAGGGAGTTTGCAGTCAAGACAACAACCGTCAAATGGCATACGACATATTCCACATGTCTCATCTTGAGCATCCCATGTCCATGATGCAACCGCATGCCACCTACAGTTTTTTTCCCCAATGTAAGAGTACATGTAATGGAATTGTCTAAGAGTACATGTAATGGAATTGTCTATCCATATAACACATGTACTACTATATGGGACAAAGAAACTTACTCTGTTTTTTTTTTTAAGCCAGGAGACATTGTAGCACCAAGAGTTAAGGGAAAAAAAACAGTTCTTTGAAAAAAAAATCTAAATTTAGAAACATTAAACTGATCTTAGTCCACCCTGTGTGAAAACTAGTTAAGACTTGAGAGTTGATAACAAGAATCCTTATAAAAACCTAACAAAATGTCATTAATATCATCAATCAAAGCTGAAAGTTATGAGAAGAGAAGAGTTTTAGATATCATGCATGATAAGGAGAGAAAATCAAAATAAGAAGGATACGCAAGAGCTTGACTTTCATGGCTTCCTCCTGAAGAAACGAACAAAAATCTTACATCAACTTTACAAACCCTAAAAAAAAAGAGAAAACACAAAGGCAGTTTGTTTCTCTTAGGCATTTCATCGAACAACTTGTAGGCAGAAACGAAACATTAGACAAGTTCATTTCTCACTGATGAAGACAGTCTAACACTGTAATAGATATAAGCAACCAAACAATTAATTTCACAAAATCAAATCAAAGATGAAACTTTGATTCAAAAACTCACCGGCGATGACGAAGAGACGATATGCAACGGAGAAGCAGCGAGAAGTAGGCAATGAGAGATGCGAATTGATTAAGCTTATGGGCTTTGAATTTAAACCGGGTCTAAATGGGCTTTTAATAACGTCTTTTTATGTCGACAATTAACATTAAAAAAAAAAACTTATTTTAGTCATGAAATTAAATCAAATGTTTTTTTTTTTGTTTCCTGTTTACATTCTAGTTATTTTTTTATTAGAAAAAGAAACATTTGATTATACTCTTTTTTTGGTTAATCAACATTTGATTGTACTTATTTAATTTGGAACAAAATCCAATTTAGCTTACTTTTTATTCAAAGATTATCTAACATTTTTTGTTTTAGATTTTTTACCATATATATACAACAAACTAATAAACTAATTGCTGTATGTCATATATGAATATATATATTTATAATTTCTATATGTTGAATATCTTTATATTTTCCATGTGTATGAATATTTTTTTTCAAATTTTCCATATGAGTGATTATTTTATTCTAGATTTCAATACTATATAGGGAACATACCATATATATACAACTAACAATGTATGACTATGAATCTTAAATATCCATATTTGATTACTAGGGTGTACTCCCAAAGCTATATTTATTTTCTTTTAACCTTGAAATGGTATGGTATTGGTAAATATAGATACATATGTATATATTTAAGCAATAGATTATATCCTTAAATTTCAGTCAAACATTGATATGTATATAAAGAACACTACCCCTACTTTGAAATTTACAAGACAAAGAAAAAAAAAACACAAACAAAAGAGTGATGGCAAGAAACAGGGCAAAGATGACTTTCCTAGAGAATAACACTTCAAGGAAGGCAACATTCAGGAAAAGAAAAGAAGGTCTCATGAAGAAAGCCTCTGAGTTATCAATTCTCTGTGGTGTCGCGGTTGCCGTAATCATCGAGGGCGAATATAGCTCTGTTCCTGAGGTGTTTCCAAGAGAAGATGTGGGAAGTGTCATAGACAAATGGGATAAGTTGTCGCAGGCAGACAAGGACAAGAAGATGGTGAACCATGAGAAGTATCTCAAGCAGAGGATCGAGAAAGCAAAAGAGAAATTGAATAAGGTTAACAAGGAGAACAGAGAAATGGAGATGAAGGAGCTTATGTTTGATTGTCTACGTAACAAAACTGCGCCGTGTTTTCTTGGTCCGAATGAACTTCGTGATCTAGGTGTTTTTATTGACCAGTATATCAAAATTCTGAGTCGTAGGATCGAGACTCTTACGAATAATCAAGGCTCATCTTCCACCTCTGTTGTTCCTGCTGCTGCTGGTACAACATCTGTTGCCATGCCTACAGCTGCTATGGGTTCTTCTTCAACGGGATTTAACAATATGATTGAAGAGAATATGAATGAGATACCAAACGTCAAGGACTTTGATCTGAATCGATGCAGTGAGGAGTGAGTATATGTGAACATCGTTAGCGGCCTGCCGGTCTCTAACCATGTTGATGTTTGGTTTTTAAGCTATCAATAAAATTATGTTTAAGTACTTTTGTTTTAATTACATGTGTGTTTCGTTGGTTTGACATGTAATAGTCTAGTTTTATCTTCAATAAATTTTCATTTTCGCCAGTTTTATTTTATTTCCTTGTCAACTCATCTTGTATGTGAATTCATGGTTCTAAAAACCGATATAGGCGGCAAATCAATTCTAAGCGAAACGATTTTCATGAAATTCAATTTATACGATTTAAATCGGTTTAAATCACTTTAGATAGATTTAAACTGTTTTGAATCGGTTTAATCAGCCCAACCCAGTGCAAATCTGTTAAATTAAACAATAATATTAGTATAAATTTGTGTTCTGAAACTCAGCCGAGTTTCCGAGTGTAATCTCTCAAAAATGCTAGTCAGAGCTCAATCGCCGTGATCTTGACTTATCGGCGTCATTAATCGCTAATGAATTAATCGGTCGTTTAATACAAAAGATACTGATTAATTAGATTAATTACCTATTAAATAAAAAACTTTATTGTTTTCAGCCAAATTTAAGAGATGAGCATTGGCTAATCAAGGTCTAATCTAGTTTTCAAAGGAACATAACACCACGTATTTATAGCAGGCGTGCCTGAGCCTCACCATTTTATGATGTGAGATCTTTTACGATTAACATTCATTTTTTAAATGGAAAACTGACCCTTACGCGCATTGAACCTGAGACATCACCACTGTTTTCCGTCAATGTTTCCACTAGGCCAAACAAACTTGTTTGCATTATTTCCATAAATCAATAAATATACCTAGAAATATCTTAAATTAAAGAAACATATCTATAATTAATCTCCGAGTTTTAATCAAGTTGTTAGGCTCGACTCGGCCGACGGACTAACACCTAATGTGAACACATGTATAAATCCACATATTTATCTTATTTATTTTATTTTGTATATCTATTTATTCATCAAAATAATTTTATTATTAAACCGAAAAGCTAATATATCTTATGTAAATGCAAATTATAAAGTCAAAATCTCTTTCTCAAAACGTAACCACTCTATTCTATCTTGCAAACAGAATGGTAGCTGCCTTCCTTTGTTTCAATCCAATCTTTCTACAGAATTTATATCTTAGACATCATTCAATCAAGGGTTGTGTCTTACATGATGTCGAATAAGACGAAGAATCAAAGGAAATCTACACAAGTATGCATCGTTATCAACAACTCCTTTTTATCTCTTTTTTTCTTTTACTTGAATTATTTCTGGAAGGATACATCACTATGGTTTGGTTGATGCTTTCATCGGTGTTAAATCTCGTAATATCTTGTGGTCTGATTTGTCAATAAATCACTTTAGATTTATTCGAATCTTAAATTAGAATCACTAATTCTCTAATCCGAGTAAGATGTTGTATGGATTGCATCCAGTAAGCATCATTCATCTCCGACATGGTCATTATGCCCATGATCAATGGCCATTTCTTACAATTTGTGAGGCGTTATCTTGACTGGGCTTTCATATTTCTTTTATTGATGGAAGATAATCCATCCGAGAAGTTACAGAATAAACTGATGGTGGCTTGTTATTTTTGACTGCTGATGAAACCAGGGGAATGGCCATGGAAGAAACAGTGGTTCAGAACTGAATGTGTGTTTCCTTTGTTCTTACAATCGTTAAATACTGGCAATTTCAATTTATATCCATTTTGAACGAATCAATATATTGGATGCTTTTTCAAAATATATTTGTAGATTTAAACTTTGAGTTGGCAAATATTATACAACAAAGGAATTCGTGTTTATAGTGACTGTTGATGATAACCAAACATGAAAATCGTAAGAGAACGAGAATAAATAATCAGAAGAAAAAATGAAGAGTTAATCTGTTTGAAGCTTGGATGACATATATGGCCTCTGGGAAAAGTCATTGTCATATGTATAGTTGTATTAATACCGTCAGCAAAACACAAGTATGCATCGTTATCAACAAAGGAATCAGATCATGGGTAAACTCTAAACCATTGGGTAAACTCTAAACCCTTCGATTAATCATAAATCTTAGGGTTTCAGATTAATCCAAGGGTTACGGATTTATCCAAGGGTTTAGGATTTAAGGTTTAGTGTTTTGCTGACGGTATTAAAAATATTTTTTAAAAAGTCAAGGCTTTATCCAAAGGTTTAGGGTTTACAAAAATGTTTTAAGGTTTAGGATTTAGGGTTTAGGGTTTAGTGTTTTGATAATAGTATTTTAAAAAAAAATAATTTTTTTTTACAACTACCAATTGTTTTTAATTATTTTTATCTTTAAATTTTAAAAACATAATATAACCGGAAAATACTTTGTTTTCTTTAAAAAAAAAATAATGAATATAACTAACATAATTTTATTGGTTGGTGAACCTAAAGGTTTACTCTAGGGAGTGAACCTCTAGGTTCATTATCCAATAGGATTGCATTATTTCATATTTGATAGCTTTTTAAAAAAAAAAAGTAAACAAAATCTTGTTAAGTTATATTATGTTTTTAAAAATAAAAATACAAAAATAAATAAAATAATAATTAATAAAAATGAAAATATTTTTTTAAAGAAGATATTTTAACACTAAACTCTACTCCCAAACCCTAACTCCTTGGATAAATCATAAATACTAAACCCTAAACCCTTAGGTGAATCAAAAATACTAAACCCTACACTCTAATCCTAAACCCTAAACCCTTGGGTAAATCATAAATACTAAACCCTAAACTCTAATCCTAAATCTAAACCCTAAACCATTGGGTAAATCATAAACACTAAAATTCTAAAACACTATAAGATTTATCAAAACTCTACGAATTTTATATAAATATATTAAATAATCATTATAATTAATATAATAATTATAAAAATAAGCTGCCAAGTGAGATTTGATGTCCTCCGTTAGGCCTGGGTAAAAAAACCGAACCGGAATCGAACCGACATATCCGAAACCGAAACAGGACCAAAATTCTTAAATATCCAAATGGTTCCTATATTTCTATACCCGAAAAACCAAACCGGAACCGGAACCGAACCGAGAACCGAACGGGTATCCGAATATCCGAAAAACAAGTTATTTTTTTTTAAATAAGATAAAATGACATCAAGCCCACTTGAACTCATGTTAGATACAAAAAGTAATTACATTTTACCACCAGACCATGTTATGTTTTATTTATTCTGTTATATTACAAATATATATATGGTACTTCTATATTAAAATATGATAAATATTTATAAAATTAACACTTTATTGATTCGAACTCTTGTTGGATTGACGAATATGTAAGCGTGTAAACACTAAAACATTTAAATTTTCATATTAACTAATATATTCTGTATATATATATATATTATTTATATATTAAATGGGTACCCGGAACCGAACCAAACCAAACGAAACCGAACTGAAATCTCATAAGTACCTATTGGGTATAAGAATGATTTATCTGATACACCCGGAACCGAAGGGTTCCTATCTGGAACCGAACCGAATATCCGAATGCCCCGGCCTATCCTCCGTTGTAAGAAAAAGAAGATCGTCCTCATCTCGAAGAAAATGGATGTGGTTCCTAATAAGATTCTGAGACACCGTCCTGTGGTAAAACAGTGTAATTCGATCACCAAAGTCAGCTCATCTTACTCTAGAGCGCTGTCTATAAAACTTTTCCTCAGCAGTTAGTAGAACATTAAGCTTATGTCTTTGTAGGTGCTCTTCTCTAGAAGTAGGAGTATCCGGTGCAGTGAGGAGCGAACGTTGCAAATCATCCACAATTTTAGTTTGATCCTTCACCCTTTGAGAGATGCCACTGAAGTGGCGCTTATTCAATCTCTTTAGAACCACATTTAGTAACTTCATAGACCTGACAAGCTTGAACTGATAAGTATCCACAACATGATGATAAAACTTGAAATGTTTACAAATAAAGCGCATAGCAGATGGCGTCTCAAACAGACAAGGAGCATGATCAGCATTGGTCTTTGAGGTTCCCCGAAACATTGTTGGTTTGACTAAATTAAACATACAAATGTGGTTATGATGAGTACATAATCTTGCATAGATAGTTGGATTTTGAATACATCATTAACAATTACGTTTGTAGAATATTTATGATTAAGTAACAACATATAGAATAACGATTAAATAAACAATAATAACATGTTATATTAAAATAGGGATTTAACTAGTTTAAACGATTAGAATGTAACTATGAATATACACAACTCTCCAGAGAACCATAGTTGAGATTATATATATTTAATTAGCAAATATACTTGTAAGATATGTATGACTAGATGAGTACAGATCTAAGATAGTGAATAAATAATAATAATAATAATAATTATTATTATTAATTACAAATACAGTGTGGATGATTGATTGGATTTTATCTCTATTTTTAGCTTTTTTAATTTTTTAAATCAACAAATTTTACCAATCATGATGTAGCCTTATTTTTATAAATTAAAACCTACATCAACTTTCAGTTAAGTTTTTTCCAATCATGATTTAGTTTTTTTTTGTTAAAACTTAGAAGAAATATGTTTTCTATGCATTTTAGATAAAACAACCTACATCTTTATTTAAGTTGTAGAATCTGTATGAAAAGTCATCTATAATATTAAATAAAATAGATAACTGTAAAGGACATTTCTTAATATTACCTATTTTTACTAATATATTAATAATTTTAGCTTTTAGAATTTTTAAATAATTTAATTCTTAAATAATATAAATTTTATTTATTTATACATTAAATAATAATAAATTTTGATAATGTAGGATTTATTTTATAACATAATTTATTTTAATTGAAAATTTAATTATACTATATTTGTGTATCACATATTTTATCCTATAATATTTACGGTCAAAAACTTATACTTACAACTATTTTAACAACATCAAAAATCTCCGCAAGAAAATCTAAACACTAATATTAAA